ACTAGTTCTACTACATGTCCTGTAAAGTCCATACACAGAAGAACCACAAAGCTCAAAGCTCCTCGTTCTCTCCGTCGTCTCTCCAGTTTGGCGATCGGTTCCATCCACGGTCACGCTGCCGCCGTCGGCCAGCTGAGCGTCGTCTGGGTCGACGCCCACGCCGACATCAACACGCCGCTCACCACGTACACAGGGAACTTCCACGGCCAGCCGATGTCCTTCCTCCTCCATGAGCTGCAGTCCAAGGTGAGCTCGGCCGCCGATCGCCAATCGATCAGCGATCAATCAGTGTTTAACAGCGGAGGATTAATAACTTGTCCTCCACCTCACCAGGTTCCGGTTTTACCAAACTTCTCCTGGGTGAAGCCTTGTGTGTCCGCCAAAGACCTCGTCTACATCGGCCTGAGAGACGTGGACCCAGCAGAGCAGTCAGTACCGAGGCCAGATCCACTAGAGTCCAGATCCACAAAAAGAGTCCAAAACCAAAAACCATTCTGCCTCAGTCTAGATCCACTACAGAGTCCAGATCCACTACAGAGTTCAGATCCACAACCAGAGTCAACATTTGCTTCCTGATTCCGGATCCTCTACCTAAGTCCACATCCACTTAGATTCTGTCTCAGTAAAGTTCCTTTAATGGAATCTAATTAATTAGATTCTGCCTGAATCCAGATCTGCTGAGATTCGTCCAGGTCTACTTAGACTCTACCAAGGCCAGACCTGCTTCCCAAGTGCAAATCCACAACTGGAGTTCAGATTCACTTAGAATCTGGACTACTCAGTCCACATCCACTACCAGAGTCCAGAGCGACTTAGATTCTACCTGAGTAAAGATCTGCTGAGGTTCTTCTCAAGTCCAAATCCACTTAGATTCTTCTCGGGCCCGGATTCACAACATGAGTCCACGATCAAAGTCTACATCCCATTAGCTTGTACCCAAGTCCAGGTGCACTTTGGTTCTACCCAAGTTAAGCTGGTAATGAGGTTCTCAGGTTCTCGCTGTTCCTGTGTGGAGCAGCTCTGGAGGGAGGGACCGAACCTGGAACGTCTGAATCATGTTGGATTTGTTTTGTTGTTCATGAGTTGTTTCCGTGCTCAGCTACATCCTGAAGATGCTGGGCGTGAAGGTGTTCTCCATATCGGAGGTGGATCGGCTCGGCATTGCGAGAGTCATGGAGGAAACATGTGACTACCTCACTGCCAGGTAACCTCCAACACCTGGTAACACCTGGTAACACCTGGTAACACCTGGCTATGCTGCTGGTAACTGTGGTTGATACGATACAGACGTCAGTTTGGTTCCATGAGACACTCGTTCACGTGAAGACAACATACATCCACACGGCAACGACAACAGTCCATTTATTGAATATCCAGTAAATTCTAAAGGGGCATCAGGACTGTATAGGAAGTACCTGGTAGGTGGTGTCCCTGTTTACAGAAGGACCCAGTTTAACTATGTAAGGCCTCCTTCAGACCACCTACATGTAATACAGTAATGGCATCCCTCCCCAGGCAGTTT